GCTAGCTAATTTGACAATTTCATGAAGGTAAATAAGGGTTTCTTAGGACACACTGAGGCTTGTCACAGGCAGTGAATAATTCAAGGCCATGGTTCTTATGTGAGATTATATTTTACAATATTTTGACTCACATGTAACCTTAGGGGGAAGAAAAATCATATTTCAGCCACAGTGTTTTCAACTCAGCCCTTTGATAAAATAATTTTTTAGCTTGTTCACTGTCCTTTTTAAAATGCACCTAAGTTATTCCTCTTATGATAAGATTGTATCAAATAATTACAAACCAAAGAGAAATGACCAGATACTTTTATATGCAGGACAATCATTTACACATGACATAACTACTAAAAACAAACTAGAGAACATTTCTTTAATATCTTTGGATTTAAAGAAAAATCGATTTCCCCAACCTCAAGAAAAACGGATGAATTTTCATAAGAGTAGCCATGCTTTTCATTTTTAAATCATAACAATCATAGGGATTTACTGTGACATGTTCTGATGTAATTGTCACATTTATAATTTGGGATTCTGCTGCAGTATTCATAAAATGCTTGACTATTCCTATTTATATCACTGGTAATCTACAGGGGAAATTGAGTGTCTTATGAAAATTTATCCAACTCCTCTAATAAAGGGGGAAATTATCGTGATACACATTTACAGTTACTTTCTGGTCTACTAATTCAATCCATTTCTTAACAACAACAGAAAAAGATAGCTTGCTGTCATAAGCTTGCAATCCAGTATAGAAAGAAAGAAAATTTCTCCTTGCCTAGTAAAAATCCTTAAGTTCCAACTCATGGCTAGGATGTTAACCGTCACAGAGCATATGCCACTTGGCAATTTGTCTCCTGGGGTAGTCACAGATCTCTTTCCAGTGTTCTCCACCGGTTCCTTCTGCTGCTGCACCCAGGACCAACCGCCCAATCACCTCATTTCGGGACCCCCTTTCAGAATCCAAAACCAGAAATTCAACACTTATTTCTTCAAGACCCTCACAAGGAATATCAAAGACAAAGAGCTCATTGAACACTGCATTGGGGGTGCATTTCTTCACATGAGTTTTCTTCTTGGAGATTCTCTTTTTGGCATGGTACAGGTTCACTTTGACGTAGGGATCTGCAATGGCACATAACAGGCATTACAACGACAGAAACAGGGTAAAGAGCTGATCTCAAGATAATGGTGTCTTTTGACATCATGCCATGTCAATAAGATGCGGTTAACAATGAAAAAGAGTCAGAATGAAGGGAAAATATGGATAAAGCCTGTCTCTCTCTTGTCAACAAAATTGAAAATAAAGAAGATCGTGTTATATAACTGAAAGCAGTCCTAAATCAGAGAATACAGAAGGAATTCTAATGGCAAGAAAAGGAGGTAACATAAAAATGGAGAAAGCAGAATGTTCTATGGAAGCATTCTGATTCCTTATAACTCAGTCCAGGGAATCGAATAGAAGGAAAAAAGTATAAACAACGTCTAACCTTACTGAGTCGTATGACTCTGCGTAATTCTCTTTAGCTCTCTGACTTTGGACTCTTTTTTTCTGTTAAATGGAGATCTCAACTCCACAATGACAATTTTTTTTTTTTTATTTTAACCTTTCTCTAGTTCTTTAATCACCTGCTGGATTAACTTTTGTTTCCCAATGTTGACCTTCTCTGTGTCACTCCTAGTGAGTGGATTTTAAAATCATGCTACCTCATCACAATTATTGTTGCCTTTCTCTGGTT